TAGGCCGCTCCAGCTGCTGCAAAGAAGGCACTATCATACGAGCTACGCTTTGATGATGACCAAAATCAAACAAGACTCGTCGCTGCCGATGAAGTCATCGACTTCCCAAACTACTAGAGCACTCACGCAAACCGGAAACCCCGTGATACCACCCTGCTTCAAACGACACATCTTTTGCAAGTTTTTTTAACAAGTAAGACGACCACGCTGCAAGTCCTTCCCTTTTTTCGAATCACATAGAACCTTCCGATGCATTCGGAGATGCTAAAAAAATCAAGCTTCAAGTCAAAGCCGCACCGTCCTCTGTCGGACCCGGCAACATTCCTTACAACGACTTCTTTTCTTCTGGTCTCTCAAAACTTATTCGTGCTTTACCCGAAAATATACACTCTCACGACCCCCTCAATGTATTTTTAACTCAATATATATCTAAACTCTTTGTATTCCTCACTCGTGTCTCCTAGGCCTTATAAGATGTTGTAGGAATTTTTTGAATTTTTCACGCGCTTGGTTGTTGAGTACAAGAAGAACCGGGAGTCCCGACTGTATATCTATATCAATGGAAGCTCGCTCTCTATATAGACAGACAGCATGTGAAGAGGGAAGGGGAAAGAGAATGTTTGGTGATTAAAATGGTGGAGGGACTCGAGCGAGTGAAGTGGAGAGAGTAAGAGGGGAATGAAAGGGAGTGTCAATTTTTTTTGGAGGTTTGTTGGTTATTTTTGCTAGATTGGAGCGGAGCTGGGACCACCAAAGAAGGAGGGGGATACAACTGGGGGGAGGAGGAGGAAGGAGGGGTTGTGAAAGGGACTATGGAGGATTTCGAGTAGATGGGGGGAGAAAGGGGGATAGGGAGACCTCTATATTGCACCTTGAGAAAAGAAAACACCGATTCAATCGTTGTCGTTCATCTTCTTCGATCATTATTCTTCATCACGCCCGCGCGCACTGGCGAAGCGAACCAAAAACCACCTCCGACAAAAAACGAACAAAGCAGAACAAATGGCGAGACAAGGGCTGAGGTGAAGACCTTAGAGTCCTCCGAGGTATCTCTCGAGACGTTCGAGGTCGCGGTCCTGGTCGTCCCGGATTTGAACGTCGACTTGAACCATAATACCAGGGCTTGGCGGTCCATAGTATCTACGAGCCGCCATGGGATTGCCCGTATCGCTCATTCCGCCATCATCCGCGCTCGCATACCCAGACAAACCCAACGAATGCTGGCTGCTCATGTCGATAAAGTTACGCGGGGTCGGCAATGCTCGTTCGGCTTTACGCGTCTTGCTACCGATGAGGATCGGAGTGAGGAACTTGCCCGTTCGTACTTCGACCTTGGTTCCGTTCTCCAGCTCTGTCTTTTCGACTCGCCTGCCTCCCGGTGTGGTAGTCCCACTACCTGGACCACTTTCAGGCTCGCCATTAAGGCGTTGGTTGGAACGACCAGAGCGGCTTGTGTTGCTTCGTGCGCGTTTGTGATTGCCACGAAGGATACCCAAGAACCCAGGCGCTTCACCCTCAACAGGAGATTCAGGAGGAGTGACATAGACGGTATTGACTTGCCCCATCTCTACATCTCCTTGGTTATTAGGATTTTGTCGGGGTGGCGACGCATCTCCTTCTTTGGCGTCAAAGTACCGTTTCTCCCTTCTCTCGTTCTTCATGATCTGGTACAATGCCAACAGAGCCGGATCATAGGCATACAATATCGCGTTGAACAATCCTACGAGGCCGTTGAGAGTATCGAGGAGGGTAGTGACTGCGTCGGGGACACGGGATCCGGCGACGGGATCGACCTTGCCAAACAAGTCTTGAATGACACCAGGCAAGATGCAAATCGTTGGAATGAGAATGTATCCTAGTAGACGGAAGGCAAGAGCCCGCATGGCAAGGGAGCGACGAGACAGCGTCGCGCTATTCCCCGCAAAGTTGAACGGACGCGGGTGCGATGAGCCGCCTGAACTCTGCCCATACTGTCCCGTCGATATTGGTCTCCCTCCAGGCCCCGTAGCGGCAAAGTTGCTCGTGTTGATGGTAACGTTTGGGTGCGGACTCGAGTTCAAATGATGATTCGCGTTCGAAAACAAGGTGACACGTTTCTTGTTAGGAGTCGTAGGCGAGTTGGGCTCATCCGACTCGAATTCCGACTTGAGCCCAATCATGGACGCACTCCCCACATTCCGCGTATCAATCGGGATCGCATCCGCCGATGTCGCACCCCCATTATTACTCTCTCCTCTCGTGTCAATAGTGAGGTTCGGCCTCGTAGCAGCGTTGGTAAACCTCCCAGTGTTGCCGTCCCCATTCGGGTTAACCCCATTCGTGCTCATGCTCTTTGCCAAACTCGACGCGAGCTTGTTCATCCGACTTGACGCCGAAAATACGGTGTATATAATTGTTATGGCCGCAAAGATGAGGTACACCATGACCACAAACATCCATAGGCCAAAGGTGAGGAGGTAAGCCGTGACGAGGCGGCTGGAGTAGGTCCCGCTTGTCGCGTACCAACACAAGTCGTAGGCGGCGTCGTATCCATATAGCCCAGCACTCAGGGCGGGAACGCAGATGAGGGCAGAGAGGACGATAGGGATGAAGATGTAGTACTTGAGGGTAGTGTCGCCGGGTCGTTTACCGAATACGAATACGAGTTGAGTGTTTAGGGCGATGCAAAAGGAGTAAAAGATGGAGATGAGGGTGGGGAATGCGTAGAGGAAGCCACCGAAAAAGGCACAAATAAAGTTGTGGGGGAGGTCCGAGTATCCAAACAAGTTGATGGTCTATTCAATCCAACCCCACAATCGTATATTATCGGTATGTTGTGCATATTGTTATCATTATCGTATTTATCCGAATTTACGTCAAAATGTTGTATCGCGTATGGTGGACAAAGACCAAGGGGCAATAAGAGCGGCGCATGACGGGCGAGGAGGCCAAAGGTCAAAAAGGTCGACAAGGGGGACAAAACAACGTCAGTACAGGATCGGAATCGGAGAAAACGACATGCGCCAATGTTCAGGGTATGATCCCATAAAACGCAACGACCAAACCAAAGGCGCGACGAAACGAGAGGAGAGCGAAGGAGAGGGAGACTCACGTGAAGGAGGGCGTCTGCAGAAGCCATGGAGACGGCGAGAACGAGAGAAGGGCGAGCCATAATTCTCCTATTCTTGCGTCGAAAGAACCAGTAGGACGCGAACACGAGCAAGCACGCCACGAGCGAGAACGCGTTCGATACTTGCACGGGTGCGTTCAGCGTCACGGATGCTTCAGGTGAACCACTACCATTTCCTGTAGTTGTAGAGTTGGTGTTGCTGTTGTCGGACATGAGGGTTGAGGCGGCTTGAAGGAGGGTCGGAAAGAGTGTGGAAGGTGAGGGAGAGGAATTGCTGACGGCTGCTTGAGTTGGATTTGAGGTAATATAAACTGTGGTCGTGATCGGAACTAGAGGAGTGCAGAAACGCGGGTTAGCAACCTGATGTGTGATGCGCCAATGATAAGCGAACCTGGGGAGGAAGAAGGGGGAGGATGATCACCAAAGCCGCCATCCGAAGGAAAAGGAGGTGGTGGCAGTGGATTGTCCATGTATGTGGACAGCGAGTGGAGGATGGGAAGAGGTAGTAAAAGAAGAGGAGTATAGTACAAGACCGCAACAGCAGGAAGATTCCAAGAAGGAAGAGGAGGAAGAGAGGAGTGGGTGGTGAGAGGAGGAGGGGAAGAAGAGAAAATCGATAATCGCATCGAACGAAAAGAATAAAGGAGAGTGAGATTGGCAGTTGATGGAGTGATAGATTGGATGGGCAGTTAGGGTGGGCAGAGGGGCTAGCTCACCTGTCCCGGTCGCGTATCTCTTCCAGCAGGTCTAGACGATAAGGAGTGGTGAGTCTAGAACAGGATAGCGGATACTAGATACTCTGTCGAGCGGGTGTGCGGCTACTAGGACGGTATACCTAGGCAAGGGGGGGAGAGACGTCAAAGTGCGGGGAGCAATTAGGCTAGAGCAGCACCCAGAGTTTCTAGAGGAGTAGCTTAAAATTGATGGAGTGGGAGGAAGAGAAAAATGGATGAAACCAACAATGGCTGGGGGACCAGAAAAGCGGGCTCACACCACCACTCCCTTCTTGACATGCGTGGGGGGAGAGTAGTAATAAGGGCTTTGTCAAATACAGCTCGCCCTGAATGCTTGATACTCCGTCAAGCAATAAAAATCGGCACACTCGCATTCAGAGTGAGCCAATTTGCTCTCAACTATCTCTCTCATGATTATTGCAAAAAGCACAGGCGG